GTGATACATTTTTTTTAGAAATATTTCAATCGGTTCATTGCTTCGCAACTAATTTGATTCAGGGCGGGTCCAGATTAAGGCTTTAAATCCTTCTCAAAGGTGGTACTGGAGAGATTCGAACACATGCTCTTACCCCACCTGCTTAGGTCTCATGCGCCAACTGAGCTACCACAATTTGATAGTGATCTGGATAAATATTATACAAATACAAGGCCCAAACTAAAAGCCTTTACTACTAAGAAAGCTCATAGTCAATGAAGGCTACAAAGCTCATCTCTCCAAGCTGCACAATAGTTATGACAGCAAAGACACCTCTATAGCAGCAAGCTCATGATAGCCATCAAGCTGCTCAATATTAATGGCCTTACCTCATCAAGCTCCTCAACATTAAACATGGCAGCTCTGTTACTTTGCCTCCAAGACAAAGCAAAGCTGATCACTAAGTAACATCTCCGCAAGTTGCTCATCTCTCCACTATAAAAACATGTATCAACACTAAGGTACATAATCTTCTCTTACATAATTAAACCTGCTTGAACCAAATCTGACTTGAGCGTCAGAGTGTCTTGCAGGTACACCCCCATCGCGTTCCATTGAAGACTCATGGGATAAAGCGGCCCAGCTGCAAGATGTTCTGACCCAAGACAATTCCAGGCTGTGTAGAGGAAGATCACATGATCGACCCAATTGTAAAAATCTGTTCTGATTAGATAATATAGTGATACATTAGATATACACAAGTTTTTTTTTTCCCTTAAGCTATTTTCTCTTTACGAAAATAAGATTTTGAATTTTTCTCCACAACATATATTATCGGGCTTTGAATTGCTGGTTTTATTCAGAATATAGTTATTAGCACAAATATTATTATTATTATTATTATTATTATTATTAAAATGATGCCGGCACTTGTTGGTGATATTCAATTACTCCCGAAGCATAAATTGGCAAATGGCATTAGGGAATCACTGCCAATTATTTAGTTAAGTTTAATACTTCCCAAATCCCAATAGACTTTGCAGCAAGTTTGACAAAATCATAATTAATTTTTTCTTTTGGCTGATTAGCCAAAGAAAAAGTCTTCTCGGCCAATATTTCGGGCCGGAATCCTTATAAATAGCCATTTTCAATAAAATGAAATTAGTATTACAACATGAAATTGAGCCATTCTCTAAAACAATGTTATCTGCACTGTTTACCAAAAATTAAAAAAAGATGTTTAACTTTTTAAAAAAAAAAAATATGCACCAACAATCTAAACTAAACTAGGCACTTGACTAATTAAAATAATTTCGTTATGAAAATTGAGATTTTAAAATACCTTCATTTGAATTTAGAAAATTCTTCATGCATTTTTTTTTATGGATCCAAAACAAATCTCAAGCAGATAAGCATAATATTTTCATGGGAAATAATACTCTTATGCTACATAAGAGTACATCATTTTTTTACACTAATTCGTTTTTCGTGCCAATTAATTTTTCTTTTCTTTTTTAATATAAAATATGGGACCCACATTTAACTTTTATCTACTTTTTTTATCTCCTACAATCCTACAACATAAGAAAACTTAAACCCTATTTTCATATGTCTTTTTCTCTAATAAAAGGTCGTGACTATGATTAGATTAGATGCAAAGAGTGAGGTTGATTTTCCTAAATGGAGTAAAAATAAATAAAATAAACTCTCAAAAACCACTTGATGTTTAATTCTTCATCAAATTAATAAGTTAAAATTAAAACATATCGACTTTTTGTAATTTCAATTTTTTGTGGGTTGAAACTAAACTTTCCCATAATACATTGCATGGCATTGAAGTCAATGGGAACACGTCCATACTTTCTTCATGCTTATATTAATGAACAAGGACAGTTGGTGTAACTACGGGTCCTGAAATTTAATAGGGATGGAGGCTGTGTCATCCATTCATGATTGGAGATTGTGCCAATAAAACCAAAAATGAAGTTATATCAGGACTAAAGCGGAAAAAGAAAACTGAAATTGGGATTGTGATAAAATTTCAGTGGTTACACTGTGGTGGTGTTAAATTAATAATCAATGGTAATGAAAATGATAATAAAGCATAACAGCAATGAGGCAAATCTGGCTAGCAAGGAGGTGGGATATATTGAAATAATATAGGAAAAATTCTTAGTTAAACCTAGATTACCACAATATCTTTCATATACTTAAATTATTATTTTATGTAAAAAAGTAATTTTGATTATAAGTATGCTTTTATTGCAGTTTCTATAATTTTGTAGATAATTTTAAAGACGACATTTGGGTTAATACGAATACGGATAAGCTCAATACAAATTTGAAAATTAGTCAAAATCAATCTAATAATTTTCGAATTTTGCGGGTTCTGACAACAAAAATATAATTTTGTATTTTAGGCACAACTTGAGCTATACTAGTTCAATTGATATGATTTTGATTTTGTTGGAAAGATAAAAGAGAAATTCACAATTTCTATGAAGAAAACGAAATCTAAATACATCATCTGGGATACTAAACATTGGATGGAAGATAACTTGAAGGATAATTTTACTAAATCATTGCTACTCATTTATCGCTTTGAGTCCTTCTAACTTACCCATTGCTCCAATGTTATGATTTAACAATGGGAAAAATAAATCTTATGTTGTAGGAAAATCCTAATCTCATGTCATAGATACATTAAGTGTGAAAAACAAAAAATAAAAAAAAGAGTGGCATACTTTTTTATGATGTGTGTAGGAAGAGTTTGTTTTCTCATACAACCTGAAAAAAATAAACCCCTTTAACAATTTAAATATGAAACTAATATTTTTTAAGTCAATAATATGCCCAATTATGAAAACTTTAAAGTCTTTTGCATTTGATAATATATACTATGTTCTTGACCAGTTACAACAATATTTATAAGGGTTTTATAAGAGTTATGTTGTAGGAAAATGATTGTGTTATGTTATAGAAATTCATTTTGCGTGTCATAGTTTTTTTTCTTCAAAACATGCGGGTCCCACAAAATATTGTGTGTGTAGGAAACTTTTTGTAGTCATGTTAAATGATAAATGCAAACCCCTATTTATAATACTTTGGGCCCTAAAAACATAATAGCGGGTTGACGTAACATAACACGAATAACCCGTCAATTCAAAATATGTCACTTATTATGCAAATTGATACACATGACACAAATAGTCGTCAAACTCAAAGTGTGTAACTTATTATGCGAGTTAACACTATATGACACAAATAATTTGTAAAGATATTAATGTGAGTCAATTTTGTAGTTGCAAGTTGACATGCTACATGACACAATTTTTTCTTGTCAATTATTATAAACACGACACGAATTTGAAAAGTCGCATCAACCCGAACACATATTTTTTGTGTTGTATTCATGTCAGGTCAACGGCTTCTGTTGAAAATTAACATCTCTAGTATATATTAAATAATAAATTGAAGGCTTTAATATTTTTACGGTGAATGTAAATAAATTAACTATAGTCACTTTCAAAATGATATCATTTTGAGTTGAAAGATTAAAAAAAGATAACGATAAAAACTATTATAATCTTGAAATAAATTATAATTACAAAAATATTTTAATTTTTACTCCAAAATGATGTTATTTTGAGTTCAATGGAAATAATTTATCTGCATTCACAAAAGAGAAAATGAATCCTAATGTGAATGCCTATAATAAATTATATTTAAGTAAACATTAATCATAAGATAATTGTTATTATATGTAATTGACAATTTGCTAAAATCTTTAAATTTTGAATTCATACAATCCCAGTGTTTATTATTTTAGTAAAATCTTTAAATTTAGAATCAATTGGATTAATATTTTCGAATTTTGCATAACTGTAATGAAATGGTCAAATATGAAAAAATGTTCATAATAGGAATAGTTAAAAATAAATAAATATTGTTATAAAAAAAAAAATAAAAAAATAAATAAATATTATGTCTACTTTTTTTTTATGTCTATTCTACTTACTCTTCTTTGATATCGTTGGATCAGAATCTCAATTAACCTTCATATTTTCTCCCTCCGTTCTAGATTTCGATCCAACAATGTTATATAAGAATAAGTAAAATAAATATAAAAAAGAGAAGGATATTTCTATTATTAAAAAAATTAACTATCAACCTAGTACTTATCTAATCACCATTGAATCAACATTTTTTTTCTTTTCATAAACTTCTTGACATTCTCTATCTGATCCAATAGTGATTAGATAGGTAGTGAGTTGATAATGAATATTTTTGATAGTAAGAATAACTCCTTTATAAAAAATGGGTATAATATCTTATCAGAAAAATAGATATAAAATTTGAATAGAATATTATGTCTATATTTTTTTCTTGAGTAAATATTTTTTTGGATCCTCAATCTTAGAAAAGAAAAGTATGCATATTAATCTTTTTTGAGAGATTAATATAGGTCTTATTTTCTTAAAGAATTAAAATAAATTTTATATTTTTTTGTTGAAAATTCAAAAGAGTATTTATTTATCTATTTTTTCCTTCGTGTCTATTCTACGAACTCTTTATTTGATCACAAACTCAAGTGACTTTTACAATTTTTTTTGTTTTGTTTAAAAAGGAATAAATAGAGTTGACATTGATAGGATATTGTATAATGTTACTACTAATATTATTATCACATTTTAACTGTTAATTTCGCCCATCAACGGTTATCATTTTTCAAATCAAACTCATTAATTAATTATTAATTCGCAATAAATGATAACTGTTGATTGACGAAAATCAACGGTTAAGATGTGATAGTAACATTAGTAATAAGTAATAACATTATTTGGTTGTGAGAATATCCTATCCCTAAATAAATAGGTATAAATTATAATATCTTCTCACTGTAAAATTTAATTAAAACCTTCAATCCTGGTTATTCAATTCAACGGGTACAAATTACAATATTCAGTTTCCATATCAACAGAGCAAACTGCTACCTGGTCGTAACCTGTGGCCATTCATCATCCCTCATCACAACCTTTGTCCATTAGTTAAGCACAAACGTTAAAAAAAAGCCAAACTTTTACTTCTCTTTCCCTCTCCTTCTCCCTCTCATTGATTACAGCCACACCGTTCTCTTTCTTCTGGATTGGTTTGGTTCCTCTCTCCTCCATCTTAAAAGCCTAACCTTCTTCATTTTCTTCTTTCCCAACTCCATTTCTATCATGTTTTCTCTCAATCACAACAAAGTTCAAATCTTTCATACACACACATTCCTCTCCGAGTTTCACAGCCTTTTGGGTCATTGCTTGAAGATCTAATTGTCAACCCCTTTTAGGTTAACCAAAAAAAAAAAAAAGAAAAAAAAAAAGAAAAGAAGAAGAAGAAGAAAAAATAATGGGAAGCAAATGGAGAAAAATGAAGCTGGCTCTTGGTTTAGATTCGTGTGTTCACATTCCTAGAGCTTTAGATGATTCCTCCTCACCCCTCAACTCCACCGCCGCAAGGTTTTCCGGTGATGTTTCCGGTGACACCTCCGGTTATCACTCAAGCACTCCGACACCGTCATCCTCCGGTCTCCGGTTGTCCAAATATGGACTCAAATCCCCCAAGGTTAGCAGTACCCGTTAAACCTTTGATAGATTGAACAAATAAAGTTTCAATTTTTATCTTGTTTTTCCGGTTTCTAAAGTTACCCTTTTGCTACCAGCTTCACCACTGAATCTCCATGGTAGATTCTGGTTAAAAGATTTGCACTATTTGGGTGGAGGGACATTCATTGCATTTCTTTTTTGTTTATCCTTATCTCTTTGTGCTGTAAGAAGAAAATTACTATTATTAAGACCTTAAACTTGATTAGAATATAAGATAGACATCAATTTCAGCTCTAATCAATGGTTAATTTTTGCTTTTGTTTTTGTCTTTTAGCCTGTCCCATTGGAGTATGGTGGAGTGTGACGCATTCTGACTATTGTGGAAACGTTTTATTTTTCGTTGTGTTGTTTTCAACTCCATTATGGGTGGGGAAGGGTATAAAGTGGAGCACTGTGCATACCCTTTTAGGACCAGTTGTTTGGCTTATTAGAATTGGTTTGCATTTGAGACCGTTCTTCTTGTTTCATCCATTACTTATTTACTGTGTACTGTTCAATTCAGTGGAAGCCTTCTCTCTCTCTCTCTCTCTCTCTCTCTCTCCTTTCCACAAAAGACTCCTCAACCGTTGATTGTGAAATTCCCATCTGCAAACAAAGAAAAAGTTGGAATTTTGCAGGAAAGAAAAAAAAATTAGAAAAAAATCCTAGGGCAATTGATAAATCATCTTTGATTTCTCCGTCTTTCAATGACATTTATATTTTATTAGTTAATGTCTCGAAAGCTTCAATATTATTACAGTTGCAAATTTGTCTTAGTACCTTTTTTTAAAGTCGTTTACTGATTGTTGTTAATTTTTTTTTCCTTGGTGTCCTCAAAGTCTTTGACCACCAAACGTTGACCTGATTTTATCTTTGTATTAAGTTGTAGATTTGACTGAGAATCTAGACATCTAAATTGGCATCTGTGGTAAAGATGGGTTGCATTCTATTTCATCTTTTTATGCAATGGTCTTGTTAGTGGACCTGCATCAGGACAGAAGGAGGGCACTGTTAGACACTATAGTGTAATAGTGACCTTTGCTAATGTTGCATTTATCAATGAATACTTTATTGAGCCACTGTTCAGATTCGCCAATTCAAAGAACTTATTTATTTACTTTTTAAATTAACTGGCTAATAGAGATATTAGTATAAATGGTTGGATCAATGGCCCCATACATATAGGTATATCTGGTTTTGTTTCCCATTACCGAGTTTGTTTATTTAATAGTAATAATTATTTTTAGAAACCTTCGTTTCTTAAATACACACTGTTACTGAGAGTGGGATTTGAGCTTAGGATCAGATGTTGCCCCCTTTTTCTTTTATTACATTTTAACCACAATCTAAATGTCAAGTTTAGTTTTAATTGAACCTGAAAATTAGTTTAAAATCACAGTGAAATTATTAATGTATCCTTTGGGGGGAGGCAGATTCTTTCCTTTCCTGACAAAGTTTAATTTAGATTGTTGGAAAAGATGGATGATGTTTGTATTCACCTCCTTGAGTTCTTCAAAAGTTGAAAGATTCAGAAGTTAAAGAAAGCCTATGGAGGTTCTTAATTCTCTGATTCACTTTTTCTGAGTGATGATTCAGAAATCTATTGCTGTCTAAGAAGCTCTTAAAACATGTTTCTGATTGGTGCATTTAATGGCATCCTTGTTTATTAGACATCTGAAATTTAATCATGGATGTTGCCTTAAAACTTGGATGTTGTTTGAATGCAAAAGCCAAATCTATAATTTCCTTTAATCATTAGGCATTCTAGACTCTCAAGTTACCAACACTTGGAAATAACAATATTTAGTGGGAGCATATTTGTTCAATTGCTTTATCGCTTTTATGACTTCTTTGTTTTTAAATAACGGGTAGTTGAGATTTTTGTTTGGTCTTCAACATGAGTAAATTTAATTGAAACATCCTTTTCTCTCTTTCTGTGTGTGGTGAACAAATACCTTATTGGGGATTATTGAAACTTGCAGAGGCCCTCTAGCCTCTCTGAATTCAATCTTCAACTAAAGGTAATTCTGGGCTGGTCTCAGCTACAGTGGTGATAGATAATTTTTGTAAGCAGCTCATTCTGTCTTCAAATTTTAACTTAATGTTTTGGAAAAGTTCTCTATTTTATAGACACTGTCTGAAATTTCATTACGCCATGAACATATTTTGTTCTTCGTAGTGCATTGGTGCTTAATTTGGCAATCCAGTCTTGATAGACATGTCAAATAAGGGCAAGTGTTACGCTTTTTTACATTCCCAGGTAGTTTTCTAGATGATACTAACATGGCTCTTCTTCTCGCTTCTGTTTTGGGTATGAGTTTTGTTGAGTCTTGTTTGATGTATACAAGGAACGTTGTTGATAAAAATGCATCGTTATGTCACTATCTGGTATACTTTTGTTTCTACATCTAAATCCTGTATTTACTTCAATAGTCTTGAAAGCCATATTATCACCTAAGCGGCCTTCTTTTCCTGACATTTTTATCCACATTATCCGCAGGGGACTTGTGCAATATGCCTGAACACAATGAAACCAGGGCAGGGCCATGCCATTTTTACTGCAGAATGTTCTCACTCATTCCATTTCCACTGTATCACTTCTAATGTGAAACATGGGAACCAGATTTGCCCTGTCTGCAGATCAAAATGGAAAGAAGTTCCTTTTCAGAGTCCTGCTTCTAATATGCCCCATGACATGTCTCGAATCAACCAAGCAACTCCACAAGACACTGACTGGACGACCGTCGTAAGGAGGCTTCCTCCTCCTCAAGTGGATGCAGGTAGGCAGAATATTTCACTTTATCATGTTCCTGAACCAGCAATTTTTGATGATGATGAAGCCCTGGACCAACCAACTTCAACTACCCTCAATATAAATGAGGCCGATCACGATACAATAAACACAGTAGAGATCAGAACATATCCTGAGGTTTCAGCTGTTCCAAAGTCAGCCTCTCGTGATGACTTTGCCGTTCTAATTCATCTAAAAGCTCCTCATTCAGGGAGAAAACAAAACGTTGGTGGAAACAATACTGAATCACCACCTCCACTTGAAAATTCCCGTGCTTCAGTTGACCTTGTTACAGTTCTGGATGTTAGCGGTAGCATGGCAGGTACCAAGCTTGCATTGCTAAAACGAGCTATGAGTTTTGTCATACAGAATCTAGGTCCATCAGACCGGCTTTGTGTCATTGCCTTCTCCTCCACAGCACGCCGGATCTTTCCTCTTCGGCAGATGACTGATACTGGACGACAGCAGGCATTACAGGCTGTCAATTCTTTGTTCTCAAATGGTGGGACAAACATTGCTGAAGGCTTGAAGAAAGGAGCCAGGGTGTTTGCTGAGAGAAGATGGAAGAACCCAGTTAGCAGCATCATATTACTATCTGATGGGCAGGATACATACTCAGTCAGTAGCACTAGCAGGACCAATGTTGGAATAGATTACCAGTCACTTGTCCCAAACTCCATTCATCGTAATAATGGTTTGGGTTTGCAGATACCAGTGCATGCATTTGGCTTTGGCACTGACCATGATGCTACTTCAATGCATTCAATCTCTGAGATATCTGGGGGCACATTTTCTTTTATCGAAGCTGAGGATGTGATTCAGGATGCATTTGCACAGTGTATTGGGGGACTCTTGAGTGTGGTGGTGCAGGAATTACAAGTGGAAGTTGTGTGTGTTCACCCTCATTTGCAACTGGGTTCGGTAAAAACAGGAGGTTACCAAGCAAGCTTGACGGGCAATGCAAGAATGGCTTGTATTAATGTTGGAGATCTATATGCTGAAGAAGAAAGAGATTTTTTGGTGACAGTCAATGTTCCAGTTGATAAGTCAAGTGATGAGATGTCATTGTTGATGGTAAGAGGTCTTTACAGAGACCCCATAACAAAAGAAATAGTGGCTCTGGAAGAAACTAGAGTAGTGAAAATTCAAAGACCTGACATAGGTGGAGAACTGGTTGTGTCAATAGAGGTGGACAGACAGCGAAACCGGCTTCGAGCAGCAGAGGCAATGGCCGAGGCTAGAGTTGCAGCTGAGCGCGGTGATTTATCTGCTGCAGTTTCTATCCTTGATAGCTGTCATAAGGCATTGTCTGAAACTGTTTCTGCACAAGCAAAGGATCGGTTATGTGTTGCTCTTTCTGCAGAACTAAAGGAGATGCAGGAAAGGATGGCAAGTCAACGTGTTTATGAGCAGTCTGGAAGGGCTTATGTTCTGTCAGGATTGAGCTCACATTCATGGCAAAGGGCAACAGCACGAGGAGATTCCACAGACAGCACTAGCCTTGTGCAAGCATACCAAACCCCTTCTATGGTTGACATGGTGACACGTTCCCAGACCATGGTTCTTGGGGCTCCACAAAACAGACGTGTACTCAGGCCTGCTAAATCATTTCCTGAGAGGCAGAGAGGACAATAATAATACTGGAAACTCTGTTTGGAAAATTCTACTTAGCCTATACATACATTTCTGGGGAGACCCTAAAGTTTCTTCTTATCTTCTTTTATTTTTGGTTTTGTCAAGTTGGGGTATAATGGAAAGAAAGGAGTTTTTAGGTGGATAAAATTCCTGATTTTGCCAGTATAAAACTGTAAATGCATATGCGGGATAATGGGGGCTTTTGGAGAGAATGGTGAAATGGGACAGTTTGGATATTACAGTTTGATTCAGAGTGATGTACATAACTTCTTGTTTTCAGTTGAATTGTGCGGGTGAATTTCTTTTCACTTTCATTGTGTACTATATATGCTTCTAATTCTTTTCATAAGTGGGGAATCTTCCTTTTGCTTTTTCTTTTTTATTACTCCAGTTTCTTCTAGGTGGATCTTCCATTTGTTTGCATCATATAGCGCGGGATTTCATATATATATATATATATATATATAGGGTAAGATATTCTTACACCGGTGTAAAGAGTTAGAAGTCTTACATTCAATCTTGACCATTGATCCACTTATATCCAATGGTTTACCTTATTAAAAAATTAGAGCCCTTAGATATAAGTGAGATTAATGAATAAGATTGAGAGTGTAACTTACACTGGTGTAAAATAATCTTGACCCTATATATATATATATATATATATATATATATATATAATATGGCAAAATTTATCGCTAGATTTTCATTCAGTCATTCTCCGTAGCCAGTAATAAAATTGATAATAACTACGTTGATTTTTTTAAACACTTTCTTCCTCACTCTGCTTTCATCATTTAGATTAGACTAGTTGAGTTCAAAATTTGTTCATTGCAATTGGTGCCAGTTTTAGAACAAGATCTTTTAAAGCTACATCAGATCTTTTAAAGCATATAATATACTTTAAAAAAGTAAATGTTGAATTTAGCAAAAGAAGTTAACGTTGAACTTTTATAAAATACAAATATTTAAACATTATACTTTAATGTTGTCTGTTATACAAATTTCAAATCCACTTCTATTATTATTCCAAGTCCTTCCCACGTTGTAGAGGGTTTTGACATTCTTTTGTATGGGCTAGTAAAGTAAGAAAGAATAGCGTAGATGATATAGCATAGAAGAGGATGTTACATCAAATTATAGTACTTTAGTTGGTGTTGGAGAAATGAGCAAGAGTATATATTCAATTCTCTTTAATATTGTTTTTGGAAAGGATTCAATATCTTAATCACGAGACCCGTTTCAAATTGAACTAATCACGTAATCGATTTATTTAAAAAAAAAAATGTGCCTTATTATGAGTGCCATGAGTCACGTGATGCTCATACCCTTTTATTATTAATATATTGCATGTAAAACCAAACGTAGGACCACGTGTTTAACAAAGTAAGCAGTGTATGCCACCTTATCACTTCCTTCATTCTTCCCTCACTAGTTAGTCACTACAGCGCCTCATAAATCTCTCTTGTGAATCCATTAAGCTCTTCATCTTCAACACTTTTTTGCAACTCCTCTTAAGTCTTAAGCTCTTGTTTCCTTTTCATTTTAATCAACACTTTCACTATAATCTTCACTTGTCCAACATCTAACACACACAACATTGTAGCAGATCTGAGACCTTCTTCATCTTATTGGAACACAACCCAAAATTCTACATGTTCCTTCGTTTAAGGTACGCAGTTCATACTGTTGTCTCCTAGTTTTCAAAAAAACAAAAAACAAGTAGCATCATTCTCGTAGTTGTACCAAAACAAGGTGGAATTGTTGTTTGGCATACCATCCCCACCAAGTGTACCTTTTTCTTTGGAAAAAGTTAATTGGGTGTGTTAGGAATGATTAAGGATCCATGATTTGATTGCATTGTTGGATAAACATGTTTTCTAACGATTTCTGAGCCTCCGTTGATTAAGATTGTCCTTTGTCTAATCATCTTGTTGAATGTTAATTGCTAATTGCTGTTCTGACTCTATATCACAAATGGCCCCACAAGAACACCGACCCCACAACCGACAAAGGAGCACGTCACTGGGGTCCACACTTTGAATGAAAACAACTCACTGCTTTGAAATTTTCCTATACGGACTTATGAACCATATGTGTATATATGCCTTTCAAGCTAAGTTAAATAATGTATACAGATCCGTTATTAAAATCTACCTTCACTATTTCTCTTTTATTTGTCTCATCTTCTCATTCAAGAAATGACAAAGGAGTGCTTTATTTTTTTAGCCGTTAGCTATAACCATGTTCTTTTCTAGTAAGTAAAATTTGGTGCTTGAATTTTGAAACAAACTTATTCTACTATATCTTTATCTATTATTATTATTTTTTTTCCAAAAAGAAATTTTTGTTGTTGTGACTTGATGATGGTTAAGTAATTCAGTGTATCAGTTTGTTCATATGAAGGAAGAATGGATAAGGTAATGAGTGAAAAACAAGGTGGATAGATGTAAATAGCTGAAGGGAGGTTGAGGGGTTGTTGTCAGTTAGCGGAAGGTTACTTTCAGAGAGGTGGAAGACTAGATGGTTTCCCTTTTAAGTTTCATTTCATATCTAAATGTTTGTGTGGTTTTTATAGAATAAACTCATTGCAACGGGTCTCTATCCTCTCTAGCTGTTTCCATTTGTCTGTTTAGTTTAATTCCCATTGCTCTTTCTTAATTCTCCAATAATAACACCTGGTGGTTGGTGAACATGGGTTCCCATTTCTCTAATTCAATGCTTTTTTGCTTTGTTTCAGTTCACTGAACTAGATTCTTCCCAAAATAAGGAAAAACAAACGAAACTTTGCTAACCCTCCTATCTATACTAGTCTTTGTTTTCTCAGAAGCTCAACATAGCTTTCTTTATTTTTGCTGCTTTGACTTTATTTCCAACCGTTCTGCTTATGCAAACTTCAAAAGGTACTTCTTCTAGTTCCTTATTCTCAAAAGCTTTGCAGAATTGTAGGTGGAAACTATGATGGTTTCTTTTGGTAGTTGCTGAAAATTCATTTCATTCATAGGCTTTGCATATGATTTTGGAAGCTAATTCTCAAGCCATCCCTCAAGAGAGTTCTACCAGTAAACTGACTATATTTATTGTCTGAATGATGTAACAATATCTTTGGTCCATCTATCCTCCTTCAATTGAACATTTATGCAAATCGGTTGTTGACCTATAATTTGAGTCCTTGACACTCTCACTCAGTGCTGCTATTCCAAACCCTCTAGCTACTACCTTGTCTACTAAATGTTCGAGCTTTCAGTGCTTCTGTGTACATTGCTTTTTAGTCAATATAATCCCCACTCTGATCGCCTTATATTTGTTATTGTACTTGTTACTGAGGGTGGAGAACCTTGACTTTGATGTTTGTTGACCAACCGAAACATTGTTCCTTCCTACTACCCTTTTTACCTTATTTACATTCACGGACCACAAAATTTGGTTAGAAAAAGAGACTTCCTATCCCCTTACTAAGTATTAAATGATTGGTATTCATTTCTTGCTGTAGCATTTTACCCCCACTTTTTTTTCACAGATGATGGTTGGACCCAGGACATTTGAAGACTAAGCCTATTCTTCTTAATACAGGTTTACCAAATGATACTATTTTCATTATTTTTCAAATATAATCTTTAAAATGGCAAAGCAGATGGATCCAGTACAGAAAATAAAGTCAATTGGAGTTTTATTAGTTGCTTCAGTTTCGTTTTGCAGGCCTCATACATACTTCTCAAAGTTACTCATATATTTTTGTGTATGTGTTGATAGTTTGACCATCTACAAAGTGCTTAAAATTTTATGGATTGGTACAATCTTCATATATTTTAGCTATTAATAGGCAAAGTTTCTCCCTCGATCTTACACGCATAATGTATTTGAAAGGATTTTGCTACATATTACTCATCATCTCCTCATGTTATTTGTTTTTATTTTGGTCTGCTCGTAATTTACTGTCTTGGGAAATCATCTAAGATATGTGTCGTGCTTCATAACATGAGGAACATTCTTACCCAAGTATTTGTATAGCACTAAATGGTTTCCTTTCTTTTACTTGTAGTGTATGGGTTGGAATAAATGAAGTCACAGCTCAAAATTGCTCTTGCTTTTGTTATTAGCTTGCTTTGGATTCGGCACTCGTTTTGTGGTTAGTATCACAATTTAGAAGACACTGGTAATTGGCTCTCCAGTTGTTACCTAAATATCATTCCTGCAAGTTACATTTAGTTAAGGTTTTGCACTGGATTCAGCACTCAACTCATTTTGTTGTTAGTATCACAAATTATCATACATTTGATATTTGACTCTAATTCTTGTTAGTAGTAGCATACCTTGTATACTGATATTTAGGTGCTTCTTAGTTAATAAAAACTGAGGAAACAGCAGCATTCGATATATGGGCATTTCGTTGACACTTAATTCCAGCAACATCAAATAAGTCATATTTAGTTTCAGTTTTATGTTCTTCTAATATAAAGTGTATGGAGTTTCTCTGTTACATGTTTCATCTCTGTGATAGGTAAAATCCAAATGAGCCATAAATATCTTTTTTCTTTCTTCTTTGCTTACCCTTGTTTCTTGGCAGATGAACCTTCTGATACATCTAGCCTAAACAAATGGAAATGCAGATGTTCTTTCCAAGGGAACCAGAGCTACTCTCTCGCTAATTGTTCTAAGTCATGTGATTGCCATTCAGGTATGTTGTTATTTTTTACTGGAACGAAGACCACCAGGAGCCTCCTGCCGATAAATTTGTTTTCCCTTTTTTTTTACCTCTCTTATTACCCTTGATTATTTAGCTTGATCTTTGCCTTTGTGTATGTTTAATGGATGTGCTTTTGCAAAAGTTGCCCGGTAACTAGAATTCGTGAAAACTCATTATAGCTGCTTTTATTATAAATTCCTGTAACATCCTGAGTGCTGACGAGGGCGGGGAGTGATCGCCGGTGCAAAGAGGCACGGACAAGGAGCGGCTCCTGACAGGCTTCCAGCAGGGGGTTACATGCATGAATGAATCGAATCGACACCCGAAGAGAGGGATTCCAAAGGCTGTGCAGGTATAAGACTGCACAGTTTGGGATAGCTTATAAGAATTAATTGGTACTACCTATACTAACAAGATGCATCTGCTTTTCGGTAACCTGGATCGGAAGAACTCCACAGTTAAGCGTGCTTGACTTGGAGCAATTCTGGGATAGGTGACCTCCTGGGAAGTTTTCTCGGGAAGTGTGCGAGTAAGGAAAAAACACATTGAAAAGTCTCGTGTTAGTATGTGGGAATAGTCATTGATTCTTGAAGCGGTTGGGTGTTACAATTCCAAAGTATATTTATTGAAAGTAGAATACACTGTGGAGTGGCAAAAACTAATTGGATATAAGTAGGTATAGGTCAAGGTTGATCCCCCCTATGTTTTGTTGTAGAATTCAAGTTTAAACATTGACACTAAAACAGAAATTTTTGAACTAGATATTTACATTTATTCAGATGTTAAAGTGTCTAATTGTGTGGTTACTAACCAATATGATTATGGTAGAAATGCAAGATAATCTCTCCAATTTAGGTGAAATGGGGAGACAGTGATCACGGCCTGAATTTTATATGATAACTGCTTTGCCTTCGCCTTCCGTGTAGATGCTGAAGAGAGTGCATCCATATGGACATGCGTATGTAATCCCAATGGGTTCCCCCAAGTGGCAGCAGATGGTCATAGCCCTAATTGCTTTAATGCCTGCAACTGCACCTGGGGTATCTTTCCCTCTGTCTCTTTTGCTCTAATCCTGAATTTCACTATCTATTGCTTCATGAAGCTGATTTAGATGGACTAATGCTAAGCTAGCTATTATTGATCACAGAACCTAGATGCATATTTCCATACTAAGAATTTTTTTTTTTTTGGTACGACGCTTATTTTTGGATATTTAAAACAAATTTTCTATAACAGATCACTTCTTACTTGGAAGTTGTTTTTATTTTTTAATCCCCCCCTCTTCTTTTCAATGTATTCGTGTCTTATTGATGATGACAGAACCTAGTGCCCTTTCATACAAAATCTTTGGCTTGTTCCTAGATCAAGGTACTCAGAAACTGAATTTATGGTTTTTTGAGTGCTCTGCAGGAACTGTCAGCATGTCAGCAGGTTCAAAGAAACACATTTCCAGCAAGATTGTTGTAGTTATTCTATTAATATGTGTTATATGCACAACCATTGCGTTGGTTGCCTCCGTTATGTGCTATGTCTACCTAAGGGACAGATACTCTATTCAATCACCAATATTCTCATCTGATAAGGAAACAAGTAGTGGTAGTACAGCCAACTTAATTAGTCATAGGACTGGGACTTCTTCAGTGTCAGATACAAAATTTGCTATAAACTCTCCCATTTGTCACTTTAAAGGTAAGCTGATTTTTTACTGTGTTCCTTGATTCTAATTTCTTATTTAAAGTGTATTTTTTTCAATTTGTATGATTGTATATGCAAACTCCAAAGTTCTTCTATTAATTTGCCATTATATATTAGTTCTTGATTAGTATTTCCCTTTTTGTGTAGGATGCTTTCAGAAATCCTCTTTCTTGTTTGGGAGGCAAAAAGAAACTTTTCACGGAAATATTATTCAATTTTCGTTTGCTGAACTGGAAAATGCCACTGAAAACTTTTCTGCTTCCAACCTAATTGGACTAGGCGGGAGTAGTTATGTATACCATGGTCGGCTTAAAGATGGTAGCAATGTGGCGGTTAAGCGTCTTAAAGATCAAGGAGGGCCAGAAGCAGACTCTGCATTTTTCAAGGAGGTTGTATACTTGTGTCTAATTTTGCAATATCAGTATTCTTTGGCTGGTCATGCTATGTTATAATGTTCCGTAGTGTCTTGTTAAAAGATGAACCCAAAATATTTTTTTGATGTTCAACATTCATAGTAGTTAATGATATTTATGTTTGTGCAGATTGAACTATTATCTAGACTTCATCATTGTCATTTGGTGCCTTTGCTTGGATGCTGCTCAGAATTAAGAGGAAAACATGTTCAGAGGTTACTAGTATTCGAGTACATGCCTAATGGAAATTTAAGGGACTGTTTAGATGGAGTTTTAGGAAAAAATATAGATTGGGCTACTCGTGTTATAATTGCAATAGGAGCTGCAAGGGGCTTGGAATATCTCCATGATGCAGCTGCTCCAAGAATTCTTCACAGAGATGTCAAATCAACTAACATTCTTCTGGATGAAAATTGGCAAGCAAAAGTATGAATCTTGTTTGTTCTGGGTGTTAGTAACAAATCGGGTAACCCTAGAGAGGAGATAATATACCTGGACATGCATAGGAATCTAAGTGAGCTTGGCTTGTTATGAGGACAATAAGATAATGAAAACAAATGCATATTAGTGCTGGTTTTGAACTAATAATTCCTTTGCCACTGATCTTCAATAATAGTTTGCTGAAGTCTTTGTTTCTTGAAGAAATAGAGTAAATTATTAATACCATGGGTGGTAATTGTCACTGAATTATAACAAGGTATATCTAAAGAACCAATTCAACCAAAAAGCTTAAGCTGCGCCCCCTCACACAAGAGCCCACTGAGCTTAAAGGGTGCATAATACACAAACCTACCTATCTGTGCTAATAAACTTCACAATACTTAATTATTTATCAATTAAATGGGGGTGGTAAAGATCGAACCCGTGACATCGAGGCTTTGATACCATGTAAAGAATTAATTCAACCCAAAAGCTTAAGCTGTTGGGTGAGACTACATTAATGGTATTATACTTCTCTAACAGTACACTTATTTATAATTTTTTTTTCAAATAATCAACTTGCAGATAACTGATCTTGGTATGGCTAAAAACTTGAGATCTGATGGCCTCCCCAGCTGTTCAAATTCTCCAGCCAGAATGCAGGGGACATTTGGCTATTTTGCACCGGAGTATGCTATTGTTGGTAGAGCCTCTCTTGAGTCAGATGTCTTCAGTTTTGGGGTGGTTCTTCTTGAGCTTATCAGTGGTCGACAACCCATCCATAAATCTACAGGCAAAGAAGAAAGCCTTGTTATATGGGTATTTTAAATTTTCATTTTTTTTAATTTGTGTCTTTTTCATCCTTATAATGTATGTTATCTTCCATTTACAATCCTGAATTAGGATGATTTGGTTTATTGATAATTACCTGCTTAAGTAAGAACTTATTGCATTGCTTACTTAATGAATTCAACTAGGAAAGATTATGGACACCCCAAGTATTAATATAGCTTGCTTAAACTTCCGTTTTAGGCTGCTCCTCGCTTACAAGATAGTAGGCGAGTAATAACAGAGTTGGTTGATCCACAATTGAAAGGAAATTTCCCAGAAGAAGAGGTTCATATAATGGCATACTTAGCAAAGGAGTGTTTGCTGCTGGATCCTGACACTCGACCAACCATGAGTGAGGTTGTTCAGATTCTTTCAACTATTTCCCCAGGAAAATCTAAGAGGAGAAGAAACATTCCAGCTAAACTGTTTCAGGTAAACACATTCACTATCTTGTACTCAGTTCTTAATTTCAGTGTTTCTAGTTTAATCAGATTTCTTATTTTTCAAATTCTGAAGTTTTGATGTATATTTTGCTTGCTGATTGCTATATCAGCTGCCACCATAGATCATTCTCCTGTAGCATGAAAAATAAACCATATCCTGATTTTTTCCCCCTTTCTGGACATGTAAAGGAACAAGAGGATGTAGAAAAGCAAAGGCAAGCTCCATCAATTGAAATTCCAACTCATGGTTCATTGCCGCTAGATATTGATCACAATCTGTGTGTTGTGGACAAAAATAAAGAAGCAGATGCAGTTTCAGCTGAGTATATGGAGAATTTGATCCCCTTGACTTCAAAATCTGAGGGCTGGCATGCATCAGAAGAGGAAATGGTAGACCTAACTGAGCCTCGTTTTGAATCATTTTGCATTACAAATGTCAATTTCCCTTGAAAATATACACCTGCATGGGCAGAGATGCAGAAGGAAGAATTCTGATGAATAATTTATTGTGCATGGCTCAATGGGATATCAATGGAGATGCTGCTATCTAGTTTTGAGAATATGTTCATCTACATTTTTTTCATTTTGTTTTGAAAGGAAGAGCACATAGGTGTTGTTAGATAAGCTGATAAGCATAGAAATATTTTCGTTGTATTCTTGTACAGAAAAGGATAGAGGATGATAGGAGATTCTGGTTTTTTTTTTTATTGGGAGAAGAATCAGATGACATACACATTAAAGGTTTTAGTCATAGAAATAATTGTTTTACAATTATATTTGGTACTGAGTCTACTGACATATGAAGTAGTTGAACTGAACTTTCCTGTGTCTGCCGTAAGACTAAAGGTCATAAATTAAATCAATCAAAATTTTGTTCACTTTAAAAGAAACTTGTATATCAACAAAAGTTTCAGCATTCTAGATTCAAATCACAATGATATGGTCCTCTTTTTTTATTTTTTCTTAATATTCATTGGTATTTTTATCTGTCTATTGATAGTCCACAGTTCTTGTGTTATTTTTTGGGTTAATAGGAGTGTTAACTGTTAACCAATCACAGATTGTGGGGATTGGTTTCATTCGTTATAGACAAATCACAAATGACATGACATCATGGTCCCTCTGAATGTTCCATGAGAGGTGTGACTTGAGAAAAGGATGTTACCATATTATGGAACCTACACGCATGTATAACATAATAAACCGATGTGCCTTCTTGTTAATAGTGGTAGAACTTGGAACCGGAGAAGCAATCCTTTCGGTTCTTACACACAGCATTCTTGGATTAATGTTAATCAACTTCTCTTTGCTAAGCTCTGAAACTGTACATTGGACCAGACGAAAAAAGGAATTTGCCACTCTTCCCAATATATGATGTATTAAATGTATCTAATTTTTCATTGTTCAGCTAAATAAAAAAAGAAAACTACAGAAAGAGAGAGAAAAAAAGAATTAATATGTTCTCCACAGAACTTGGCATCTAGGTTCTCTTAACTCTCTCTTGAATTTAAGCTTGTCATTTTGCAGCAGTTTTATAGTTCATTTAACTAATCAGCTGCTAATCTGTCCCATTTTATGTCAAATGTATAAACAGTCATAATACTGGAAGATTGCATTTTTGGTCAGTTATGTCTTAGCATTATTTATTTATTTATTTATTTCTTTATATGGCAATTGACAAGGCCTATATTCTAACCCCACCCAACTTTGTTGCAATAATTTGCCTCACCATTTTTTGTAAAATAAGAGTAAATAAATATTTCCCAAAATCTTCCCTTTCATAAACACTGGTTGATCCAATGCGCAGGTGTAGTTGAATAGTAATTTGTCATCATATAATAGCCTTATGCTTGGGTCGTATTCAGAAAATTCTCTCAGGCACGTGAATGAGCATGCAAAGTGAAGAGTACAATAATGAATTTTCTTTTGTATATGTTGAATATCATAGATACAAGAGGAAATGATAGTAATCCTTGTTATATTAAACTACACAACATTGGTGCTATTATATAGCAAACCAATTGAAGAATACAAAGAGACACACTCAATGTGAGACTTCTACACTATTAACACTAACACTCTTAACACTCCCCCTCAAGCTGTAGCATATAGATCATATGCTACAAGCTTGATACATAAATATGCTACAAGCTTGATACATAAATATGCTACAAGCTTGATACATAAATAATACTCCCATTAGGAACCAAAAATAACAATGCTACATCAACGAAATGAAATGAATAAATACAACAAATCAACTGGAATGACCATCAGTGTGAAGAGCTGATAAAGAGACAGTGCTGGAATGGACATCAGAGCATGGATGGTGCCGGATTTATCATCGGCAAAGACAACTGAGCTAACCAGGACATCAGCATCAAGATCCCTCTCAGACATTTCATTTAACAGTTGGTGAGCAGCCGTGGTTTCCCCTTGACTATGCTACAAGCTTATTACAAGAAAGACCAAGTAACATAACATCAAAATAAATCTCCTAAATGAGAAACCAAAAATCAACAATGTGCTTAAAATGGCGTCGAAATGAACATCAACATGGAAGATGCCGGAATGATCATCGGCAAAGACAATTGTGCTGGAATGACCATCAGCAACATGGACGGTGCTCCCCCTCAAGAGGAACTTCTAAACAGTGCCGGAATTATCATCGGCAAAAACAATTATGCTGGAATGACCATCAGCAACATGGACAGCTCCCCCTCAAAAAGAACTTCTAAACAGTGCCGGAATTATCATCGGCAAAGACAATTGTGCTGGAATGACCATCAGCAACATGGACAGTGCTCCCCCCCAAGAGGAACTTCTAAACAGTGCCGGAATTATCATCGGCAAAGACAATTTTGCTGGAATGACCATCAGCAACATGGACAGTGCTCCCCCTCAAAAGGAACTTCTAAACAGTGCCGGAATTATCATTGGCAAAGACAATTGTGCTGGAATGACCATCAGCAACATGGACAGTGCTCCCCCTTAAGAGGAACTTCTAAACAGTGCCAGAATTATCATCGGCAAAGACAATTGTGCTGGAATGACCATCAACAACATAGACAGTGCTCCCCCTTAAGAGGAACTTCTAAACAGTGCCGGAATTATCATCGGCAAAGACAATTGTGCTGGAATGACCATTAGCAACATGGACAGTGCTCCCCCTCAAGACGAACTTCGGTGTCGGAATTAACATCAGCAGAGACAACATTAGCAACTTGGACAGTGCTCCCCCTCAAGATGGATGATGAATAGTATAAATACTCCATCTTGGGAAGAAAGAAGATTAAAGAAAAACAAAGGTTCGCAGAATCGGAAGAGTCGCCGGAGACGGCGGTGGGTCGTCGGAGACGGTGGTGGATCGCCGAAAAAGTCGCCGGAAAGTCATAGGAAAAGTCACTGGAAAAGTCGCCGGAGACGGCTGTCAACGGTGGACGACGCGGTCAACGACATCGGTGGTCAACCCAACAACTTCCCAAGGATCATTCTTTTCTGATGTGACAGATCAGTCTAAGCTGCAGTCACAGAGCATACTAAGAAAAACCCGAAAAAGAAATAGTAACGGGAATCCCTCAAGGAGGGTGATATCTCTCTATAACCATATTGAAATTATGGAAAATAGAGCTAAGTTATACGGATTAAGATTCCTCTTGTTAGGCTCTGATACCATGTTGAATATCATAGATACAAGAGGAAATGATAGTAATCTTTGTTATATTAAACTACACAACATTGGTGCTATTATATAGCAAACCAATTGAAGAATACAAAGAGACACACTCAATGTGGAACTTCTACACTATTAAAACTAACACTCTTAACAGTATATATACCTCAAGTGATGGTCTTAGGGACCGACATATCTGCTTTCTAATATTTCACCAAGAAGTTGTTTTCCATAGTCATCACTACCATGGTTCCCAGAAAGCTATTACACTGCACTTCATTGGCTTTGCTTCTAGTTTTTGGATTCTGGACTTTTGGAGGCCAATGCTCGCACTCTAGAAGATGCTTCAATGTATGAGAGGCATAAGCAATGGATGGCTCAACATGGAAAAATTTACAAGGACTCTTATGAAAAGGAGTTGAGTACCAAATATTCAAGGAAAACGTGCAAAACATAGAAGCTTTTAACAATGCTGGAAACAAACCTTACAAGCTAGGCATCAACCAATTTGCTGATCTCACAAATGAGGAATTCAAAGCCAGAAATAGATTCAAAGGTCATATATGCCCCACAATAACAAGGACACCCACATTTAAGTATGAACATGTGACTAGAGTGCCAGCTACATTAGATTGGAGACAGAAAGGAGTTGTCACACCCATTAAGGACCAAGGCCAATGTGGTATGTGTTTGATGATTATTTGAAACTCAAAATTCAAGGCTTAATTCTATGTTTCCTTATTAACTTTTGCTTTTATCATTTAGGATGTTGCTGGGCATTTTCTGCTGTGGCAGCAACAGAAGGAATCGCCAAGCTTAGTACTGGCAAATTGATCTCTTTATCAGAACAAGAGCTTGTTGATTGTGACACAAAGGGTGTGGACCAAGGTTGTGAAGGGGGTCTAATGGGCAATGCCTTCAAATTTATCTTGCAAAATAAAGGACTTACCATAGAAGCCAAATATCCATAACAGGGTGTTGATGGAACATGCAATGCAAATGCAGAAGCCAATCATGCAGCTAGCATTAAGTTGTGAATATTAGTTTAGAATAGTAGTTTACTAGTCCCACATCATGTATATCTCTTTGTACTTCCTTTCTTTTCACTTATATAATAGACTCTCCGATGTGTAGTCAAGACACACGGATTACTCACAAACCTCTCGGGTCTTGATATTTAACATGGTAGCCAAAGCCTAACGAGAGGAATTTTAATCTACGTCTATCCGGTGGACCTACTGTTCATCTAGTAAAATTTGTCTTTTAGGAAGCTGTCACACCGACAGTATTCCAGCCACCGTCAGCCACTGCCTTCTGTCACCGAAAAATTTCTCCTGCGACCGTTTTTGTCAAAGCATACGTCAACGGACACAGAAGGAGCCGATCTACGCAAAGCCGAAGGACCCACCGTCATAGGAGGCCCCACACTCTCTCACGCGCCAATTCCCTCTCTGCGCGTGGCCAACACGCGCCACCTTCCTCCGGCGCGTGCGGTGTTTTCTAGCGGCCATTCGTCGTCGACCAAGGACAAACTTGGTCGCTCAGCCGTCCTCTTTCCAGATCAGCCTTCACCTCGTTCAAACGACTTTGTTTGGGTCTTCTTGTTCACAGTTTGTGTCCCCTGATCGTGTTGCCTTTGTTCGTGTGCTGCTGTTTGAAGCCAGCAATAACTGTTCGTTCCTGGTTATTACTCATCGGACAACCTTGTTCTTTGTTCTTGTTCTCGGGCGAAGCTGCTCGCATTTGCTGCCACAGCTAGGAGCTTGCTTGAGGTGTAGATCCACCGCTCTACTTTGGTTCTGCTGCTACTATTTCAGATCTGATCATCCACCAATATCATAACATTAAAAACAGTCATGTTTTCCATACCTGTGTGCTTTTGTTCCCAGTGTTCGATCTTGCTGCTGCGTGACATTGAGGTTCCTTGTGACTTTGGTTCTTTATTTTACTGGTACTTTATTCTATTTTTGGACCATGGATGATTCTAGCTCATTTCCTCAACATGTTTCTCGGTCCACTATCCCTGGTTCCACGGCTACTATTGCGCATATAGGTAATACCTTTACTGGTTTCACTCAAAATTCATCCTTTGGTCATTGGGTTTTTGATTCCGGTGCCTCTGATCATATTTCTGGTAATAAGTATTTATTCTCTTCTCTTTCTATCTCTGGTTATTTGCCTGCTGTTACTATGGCTAATGGTTCCCAGATTCAGTCTAGTGGAATTGGAACAATACATCTCTTTCCTTCTCATATTATTGATAACGTGCTTTATGTCCCCGGTTCACCCTTTAATCTCCTTTCCGTTAGCCGTTTCATACATTCTCTTGATTGTCTCATCTCTTTTACCAAAAATTCTGTTGTTTTACAGGACCAGAGTTCGGGGAGGACAATTGGCGGGGGATTTGAGTCCAATGGCCTTTACATGCTCTCCAGCTCCTCTCATGCTCATTCGGTATTGGATTCTCCACTCACTGTTCATGCTCAGTTGGGTCATCCTAGTCTTACAAAGCTCCAAAAGATGGTTCCACGTCTATCCAAACTGACCACTTTGCAATGTGGATCATGTCAATTCGGGAAACATACTCGCAGTTCTTTTCTTGATAAAGCCCGTCGTCGTGCCTCATCTCCTTTTAGTTTGGTTCACTCTGATGTTTGGGGACCTAGTCGTACTGAGTCAAATCAGGGGTATAGATATTTTGTCACCTTTATTGATGATTATTCTCGGAACATCTGGTTATTTTTACTGAAAAATCGCTCTGAGCTATTCTCGGTATTTCAGAAGTTTTATCAAGAAATTCTTACTCAATTTGGTATTCCTATCCGCACTTTCCGTAGTGATAATGCTCGTGAGTATCTGTCTCAACCATTTCAATCATTCATGGCCTCTCATGGCATTCTTCACCACACGTCGTGTGCCCACACCCCTCAACAAAATGGGGTTGCTGAAAGGAAAAACCGTCATCTCATTGAAACAGCTCGGACACTCTTAATTCATGGGAATGTTCCTACCAATTATTGGGGTGATGCTGTTCTCACTGCATGTTATCTTATTAATCGCATGCCTTCCTCCGGTCCTTGATAACCAGGTACCGTACTCTATCTTGTTTCCTCATCGGCCTTTATATTCCTTACCCCTTCGTATTTTTGGATCTACTTGTTTTGTCCATGTACTCGGCCCCAATCATGACAAGTTGTTTGCTAAGTCCCACAAATGTGTGTTTCTCGGTTACCCTCGAACACATAAAGGTTATCGATGTTACTCTCCCAGTCTCCGTCGCTCTTTTGTCTTGGTGGACGTTACCTTCTTTGAGTCTGTGCCATTTTTTGGCTCCACCTCCGTTCCTAGTGATTCTGTTGATAGTCTGTCTCATTTACCCTCTATTCCAGTTCAATATGTCCCGGCACCAAATCCTCTACCACCATTTCCTTCTGTCATATCTTCAGATGTCCCGGCACCAGATCCCCCTCTCCAGGTTTAGCACCGTCGGCCACGTCCACTTATGCCCCCAGACACTGACTCTATTGTTAATGAGGTTCCTGTGGACTCAGTTCCTTCGTCATCAACTCCTATGGCTTCGGTCCCGCCCTCAGACATTGACCTACCCATTGCTCTCCGGAAAGGTACTCGTGATACTCGCCCTCCACTCAGGTGTTCAATAAATATGAGTTATCATCGCTTTTCTCCATCATATTTTTCTTGTCTCTCTTCTTTGTCTGTTCCAAAGACTACAGGTGATGCGTTATCCCATCTCGGATGGCGGCAGACTATGATTGACGAGATGTGTGCACTTCATGGCAGTGGTACTTGGGATCTAGTTCCTCTTCCCTCTGGAAAATCTGTTGTTGGATGCAGATAGATATTTACTGTCAAGGTTGGTCCTGATGGACAGGTGGATCGTCTCAAAGCACGTTTGGTGGCCAAGAGATATACTCAGGTGTTTGGCGAGGATTATGGGTATACATTTTCCCCTGTGGCGAAAATGGCATATGTTCGTCTCTTTATTACTATGGCTGCCATTCGTCACTGGCCCCTCTATCAATTGGATGTCAAAAATGCTTTCCTCAATGGTGATCTTGCAGAAGAAGTTTACATGGAGCAACCTCCTGGGTTTGTTGCTCAGGGGGAGTCTGGTTTAGTTTTTCGACTCCTCAAATCTTTGTATGGTCTCAAACAATCTCCACGAGCTTGGTTTGAGAGGTTTAGCACCACTGTCCAGCAGTTTGGTATGACTCGAAGTGAGGCTGATCACTCGGTATTTTATCGCCACTCAGACTCCGGATCCATTTATTTGGTGGTATATGTTGATGACATTGTCATTACTGGAGACGACCATCAAGGCATTACTCAGTTAAAACAACACCTCAATCGTCATTTCAGACAAAGGATCTCGGAAGACTACGATATTTCTTGGGAATTGAAGTGGCTCAATCCAAGGATGGTATTGTGATATCCTAAAGGAAATATATTATGTATATTTTTGAGGAGACTGCTCTGTTGAATGCTAAGCCCGTTGATACTCCTATGGATCCAAATGTCAAGCTTGTGCCAAATTAGGGGGAACCATTTTCAGATCCAGAAAGGTATAGAAGATTGGTTGGAAAGCTGAACTATCTCACAGTTACTCGACCAGACATCTTATTTGCAGTTAGTGTAGTAAGTCAGTTCTTGAATTCTCCTTGTGAAGATCACTGGAATGCAGTGATCCGTATTCTCAAGTACATTAAGAATGCTCCAGGTAAAGGTCTCCTCTATAAAAACAAAGGTCATACCAGAGTTGAGGGATACTCAGATGCTGATTGGGCAGGTTCCCCCAGTGATAAAAGACCCGCCTCTGGGTATTGTGTATTCCTTGGAGGTAACTTGATTTCCTGAAAAAGCAAGAAACAAAGTGTACTTGCCAGATCAAGTGCTGAAGCAGAATATCGCTCCATGGCAGCCACCTGTGAACTCATCTGGTTAAAACAACTACTAAAGGAACTCAAGTTTGGGACATTGACTCAGCATCTCCCATTTGCGATAATCAAGCTGCTTTAAATATTTCTTCCAATCCAGTGTTCCATGAAAGGACCAAGCACATTGAAGTAGACTGTCATTTTGTCAGAGAAAAAGTCCTCTCAGGAGAAATAGTCACTAGTTTTGTTAACTCAACTGATCAATTAACTGATGTATTTACAAAGTCTTTGAGGGGGCCTAGGATAGATCACTTATGTAACAAGCTTGGTGCATATGATCTATATGCTCCAGCTTGAGTGAGAGTGTTGTGAATATTAGTTTAGAATAGTAGTTTACTAGTCCCACATCATGTATATCTCTTTGTACTTCCTTTCTTTTCACTTATATGATAGACTCTTCATTGTGTAGTCAAGACATACAGATTACTCACAAACCTCTCGGGTCTTGATAATTAACAAAAGGGTATGAAGATGTCCCTGCAAACAGTGAGAGTGCACTTCTGAAAGCTGTTGCTAATCAACCAATTTCTGTAGCTATTGATGCTAGTGGATTTGAGTTTCAATTTTATTCAAGTGGTGTCTTCACTGGATCATGTGGCACTTGAGTTTGGACCATGGTGTCACTGCTGTGGGTTATGGAGTAAGTGATGATGGAACTAACTATTGGTCGGTAAAAAATTCATGGGGAACACAATGGGGTGAACAAGGATACATTAGGATGCAAAGAGATGTTGCTGCTAAAGAAGGCTTGTGTGGCATTGCAATGCAAGCTTCATACCCCACTGCATAATTGTCAAACTTTGTCAGCCTAAACTTAATATTATAGTTTAGGCAAGAGAAATAGTACATTAGCACAAGCCACTGGAAGTGTGATAATAGTAATATGTTTGACTACTTTATAAGAAATTAGAGATTCAAATCTTGTGCCACTACTATTGTATTAAAAAAACTATATAATTGTTCCTGCTTACTATATATATCAAAGTAAATTGTACTGTCTTTCTAAAATTATCCTTGTAATCAATTTGATTGCATAAAATTGCATCTTATTCACCTTCTCCATTTGGAGGGGGGAAATATGGTCACCAAGGTATTTGATTTTTGCAGTATTTTGTTTTCTATTATTTAGGATTATCTATAACAGAAAATAAAATTATTTCTGAACACCTCGAAACAACGTTGTCTTGAGGTTTGAAAAAGAGAAAGGATATTTTAGTAAAATTTATGATACAAGAGAAAAAAATAAAAATTTCAAAATATCTTGTATTTTCTTTTTCTCTAAACACCAAAACAAAGTCATTTAAGAGATAACTTTGTCTACTAAAGTAGGATAAACATTTTTTCCACGAATCATTACATCTCCTTTTTCTTTTCTTTTTTTATAATTTAGGCATAAAATATGCAAATTATTCTATTATCCTCCCTCTTTGAAAAAAGTACAAAGTACCTGATAACTAAGCCAATCGGAAAACAGCAACTTCGAATTAAGCTTGAAGTAGATGGGCTGGGCCTATAAGTGTGGGAGGCCCAGGCCTATGCAATGGCCCAGGGCGAGGATTTACTATGAGTCCTAAACGCGTCGTTCCTTTGGCCATATATTAGAGTATAAGGAAGTGAAAGAAACCTGAGCAAGTGAAGCGATATACACTGGTGACCGCCGTTGGAAATGGCCGGCAGAGGTGGAACGACTCCGGCGACGTACTCGCCATCTCCGACGACCGATAAAAAGAAATCCTCACTTTTCAATGAAGATTGGGTCCGACCCGATGGCCGCGGCTTCCACCAGTGCAGGCCTGCCTGTAAGCCAGTAACACCAATATTCAAATTCAATGATTTTTTTTCTTTTTTATTTTTAATGCAATTGCAATGTTATTAAGGTTGATATTTGCTTTATCATAATATATGGCTGAGTTCCTATAGGGCTTGATTAGGCATCACTGGTATAAGGTTTTTATATGTATATAAGTCTATAGTGATTTCTGACACTTCACATTTCCATTTACTGTGGTTGTGTGCTGAATTATGAGTATAAGGGTCTCGTTGCATGGATTTTTAAGGTGTACCTGAACTCATGGAAGACTAAGTAACTGTTGATCATTGAGATGAACCATTAGACATGTCTCATCTCTCTCACTGTTCAGTAGTTTAAGTGTAAGGGACTAACATAATGTTCCTTTGGAAATGCTCAATTCATTCAAGTGAGAATTGGGTCACCTACTTAATATAGAACTTTTGAGCTTGTCTAGGCAACCTGGTGTTATAAAGCTCTCGCTATGCGCAGCGTAAAGGGAAGGATCAGACCTATTGTGTGGATATATTGTAGGCAGTATTATGTTGCATTTAGAAGAGGATGATTAGTTGAATTGAACTTGCGACCTCCTGGTCAAGCGACAACACCGACCGTTGTGCCATGGCTCCTCATCAACTTCTGAGCTTGTGGATGTTGAAATTTTGTAATTTATAGAATATTAATAGTGCCTGTCTTGAATTCTAACTTCTTACTCTAGAATCATTTATTTGCTTTGAAATGGTGTTCCTGTATTAGTTGCACTAGTTTATGGTTTTGGTGACTTGCAGTTTTCAGGACTGGTGCTGTGAATGCTGCGTCCGGATCTGCTTATGCAGAGTTTGGAAATACCAAGGTCATTGTATCTGTGTGAGTGGTTCTTTTATCTCGCCGATGTGTGAATTATTTAAATCAGCTTGCTGAGGTGTGTTTCTTAAGTTTTTATTTGTTATGCTCTCTACCTAATGTGGTTATTTTATTTTCATTTTTTCAATACAGATTTGGGCCAAGAGAGAGCAAGAAGGCAATGATGTACAGTGATATTGGGCGTCTGAATTGCAATGTCAGCTTTACAACGTTTGCAACCCCAGTTCGTGGACAGGTATATAAAAAAAGTTAATGGTTGTAATTTTTGCAATCTTCTGCTTCTTCCATCTCATGCCTATTTTAGGTAGCATTTAATATCTTAAATCTCACAAAGTTTAGGGTTCAGACCACAAAGACTACACTGCGATGCTTCATAAAGCTTTGGAGGGTGCAATAATATTGGAAACTTTCCCAAAGACAACTGTAGATGTTTTTGCATTGGTGCTGGAATCTGGCGGCAGTAAGCTTACAATTTCATTATGATTTTCTATTTAGTTCATCGTGATATTGTTTTTAATGGTTGGAAATTTAAGGACAAAAATGTGCTGAATATAAATTACCAAAAAACAAAGACATGACATGGAAGTTTAAATTTATTGTTATTTTTGTTTACCTTGCTGTCATTTGGTGATTGCTTCAACCAATGTTTGTTTTCGTGTATATTTGAAGAGGTATTTTGCTTTTATCATATTTTCGGTTAGTTAATCATGAGGTGTGGTTTAGTTGGCAACCTAAGCAACATATTTATGAACTTCACCTGCAGTGCACTGGCCAAGGCCACACAATCAGATGTCTAAGTGAGGATTATCCCCACATTTTTGGGGGACAGCTTGGCAGCCCCAAAAAGATAGTATCTTTTAGTTGAACCACATGTTTAGGCTTTTGGAGAGAGATGAACTTGGAACTCCTTTTACATGAGTCCCTAATTGCTTTTGTTGAGAATTGGTCCATGTTCTTACAGTTGACCACAATAACAATTAGTATAAATAATAATACAAGTTTTCTTTGAAAAGGCTGCCAAGTGCATAAGGGACATATGATATAAAATAAAGGCTGCCATGTACTGCCTGTGTCTCATTTTTTTGGATAATTTAGCAGTTTTTTTGACACCTTAAACATAAATATTAAGATATAGTCTTCCATTGTAGTCTGGTTCCTAGTGAAATTGTTTGAGATGCAGCACTTCACATGCATATTCCTTTGGATTTTATAATTGTAAGAAGTAATGATGAATGATCCTAATAAAAATTTGGAGCAGTCAGGGATGCAATTGAATTCAAATATTTAGGCAAAATCTGTTCTGTTTGATTTTTTTGCTTAGTTTCTAGGAGTAATAATATTATTGAGCTTTGTGGCAGGTGATCTTCCTGTTGTCATATCATGTGCTAGCCTTGCCCTTGCAGATGCTGGAATAATGATGTATGACCTTGTTGCCTCAGTTTCTGTGGTATGGATCTTGCTCACGTTTCCACTCTTGTGTAATATATACTTGCTTTGTAGGGTGCTTAAACTGCCTCCCATTTTTAAACTTTTCTTGAAATTTTAATTTACTATAATATCATCTTCTGCTTTCCTTTTCTCTTCTGATTTCTTACTTAGCGTCAGCTCACACATTTCATGCATCTTTATATTACTTCTTCATGTATGCATTTTGTCTTTTGTAGCCTATAAACTCTTTCCAAATTTTGATCTATTTCAGTGGATACCAAATTCTTTTTGCGTAGTTGCATATATGTGTGTGTGTGTGTTTGTGATCATCGCGAGGAAGGCTAACGACCTTTTACTTGTTATGACTCTTCCATGAAATTTTCCTTTTTGACATGCTTATTTTGCTGCTAAGAGTCTCATTTGATTCCTTTTTATCCGAAAATGTAATTTTTTTTATAATGATTCCAGTCATGTCTCAGTAAGAACCTTGTCATTGATCCTATTATGGAGGAGGAAAACTGCCAAGATGGAAGCTTAATGATTACTTGCATGCCTTCTCGCTATGAAATCACCCAACTCACAGTTACTGGGGAATGGTCCAGCCCAAAGATTAATGAGGTATGCCTATTTTGAATTTATTTATTTATGAAAATGCTTATTTTGAAGTTGTGGATTCACGTCTGGATACGTTTTCACTTTACTAATATCAAGCGACAGCATTTAGTAGATGCATCTGTGGTTTTCTGCTCTGAGGATTGCATATTTGCATTGCTATTTTGCTCACGCATGTAAGATCATCTAAATATTTGTGACTCCTTTTGGCTTGAAAGAATAGTATCTAGATATTTAGATAACGCCTATTGGTACATCTTATTTGACCACATTTAGTTAATATAACTGAAATTGAGTCAAAGCTATTTCCAATTTATATAGAGGTGCTAGTGTAATATAAAAGATATAATATTATGCAGGGAATGCAGCTTTGCTTGGATGCTTGTGCAAAGCTTGCGAAGATTATGAGGTCATGTTTGAAAGAAGCTGCTTCAGATTCACAGGAATAGGATGAAAGTTCTAAGTTTACAATGGTCACAAGATGTGCTGTTAATTTTTTTTTCTTCTACTTCAACATTGAGAGAGAATTTTGTGTTGGAGGGACGTAGGGAGAGATGCTGTGCATGTCCTGCAAATTTTGTGCTTATGAGCTTGTCAAATATACTTTGAAAGTTAATCTTATAGCAAAAAGTTTGCAATATGCATGCCACTTGATACACAACTGACGCAGTTTACTGCCATGTTTTATATCAGCAAAACATGAATTTGGTATAACTTTATTTCTGAAATATGCTTAACCTGCGGATTTTTTAAAACCAAACTTTGAAGCATTAATAAATTATGACTAAACTGAGTATGGCAATTCGGGGTTTCATCAATTAATTAAATAAGGTTTAATTTTGTATAGTTTTTAATATTTATAGTTTGAGAGTATTGTTGGGTATGAAGTTGACCTTCAAAATAAATTAGACCATACAATAAGTCACAAAATGAGTCTTAAAACTGAAATCAACTTTACAAATGAATCACACTAGGTTGGAGACAGATCTTGGATCATTGAACGATGCAGTTCATTATTTTGAATAGCCATGCAAACATCTGGGTCGCAAACACGTGTGTCTAAACTCATTCTGTATTCTTAAATCGTGGGGATGCCTCTGGAAGTATGGACAGTAGACACAGTCTGTACAAGTTGATTTGATATCATCCGTAAGGTACAGCCAATCACAGTTTTTTTATTTAAAGCTAACACATGGCTATCATGGCTTTGAATTCTTCTCTTTATATATGTACAGATAATTTGCTTGTCTCTTCCTTCTCCATCATTTCACATAACGACAGCGAATACCAAACAAATCCAAAAAATATATATGCATACTGTTAACGTCCATCCATGTTCCTCAAATTATTGACAAACGCAAATGTGAAAATTGAGATTAATTTTGACAATTGAAAGAACAAACTACAGTAGGACATTTTTAAGAAAATAAAAGAACTATGTTCTATGCAGAATGATTTCAACTTCTGCATATAATAATAATAATAATAATGTTGGAGATATTTTAACTATAATTATATATAATATAAAAATAATGAATATGCCTTTGTCGAACCGTTACAAAGGAATTCTTTCTCATCTCATATTCTATCCATAGGTTATCCAATAAGCTAAGAAAGTTACATATAAAAGTATATAGGGTACATTTTTTTTTTCTTTTCTCATCATATAGCTCTACATGGGTCTCACACACTTTTATATGTGTAAGAAATTAAATTATTCCTAAAACATGACAAAAATTAATCCCATATATATTTTATCATAATCTCAACTATTTCAATTAACATTGTAACATTGTACTTTAGATGTACACACTTCCTTGTAAAAGAGTATTTTTTAAAATTTAATGGGAAATATTTATTATTTTAAAAGATAATTTTTTGTCATTTTAAGTAAAATGATTGTGTCTTGATGGTTTTTTATATGACCATCAAAATATAATTATTTTACTTAAAATGATATAAAATTGCGTCCTTTAAAATAATAAATATATTTTCCAAACTTAATAATTTATAATACCCGACTGGACAAAAGGGGCGCGTGTAAACTTTTTCTTTCTCTGATAGGGTTTTTTCGCGCGATTCATAATGGGTAAAGGGGGGAGACCCCCAAATTCTGTGGGGGATCTTCTAATCAATAGAGATTCTAAGAAGGCAAAGGGGGAGATGATGGCGGACTTGGAGATGCACGAGGAACCTCCGATTGTGGGCACAATGGAGGTTGAGGGAGATGGATCTGGCCCGATTGGGGGCGATGAGGCTATGACTGGTATCAGTGTAGAGGAGGAGGTCAAGAGGGATCCTCGGAAGCTGATTTCTTATAAAGATCAACTCCTCAGTGTTAATGGTGTATGGGATGGAATCCCTGAAGATGACGCAGACGACTGGTTCGCCCAGAGCAAGCAAGATGAGATCGAAGAGGAAGAAGCTCTGAAGGCTTATGAACAGATTGGTGAGGATGACCCCTTAAATCCGTTCTATCAATTTGATATTCTAGAAAAGGTCGATCAGTGTAAGAGATGGAGGAAGACATTGATTGTCAAGCTGATGGGCAAGCGGCTGGGTGCGAGATTCTTATGGAATCGTCTTCATAAGCTCTGGAACCTTGAAGGGGAGTATAGGGTTCTGGATTTGGAGAATGACCATTACATGGTCGAATTTGAGAAACCCCAAGACTATCTGTTCGTCCAACAACAGGGACCGTGGATTGTGGCTGATCACTATCTCATAGTGCAGAGATGGAGGCCTAATTTTGACCCTTATGATGACAGAATGCGGAAACTTGCGGTTTGGATCAAAATCCCAGGAGTTCCAAGGGAGTTCTATACGCATAAGGACCTTTGGAGGATGGGGAATATGGTGGGCAGGACACTGAGGATTGATGAAAGCTCTCTCAGGATCAGTGGCCAAGGTCAACTTGAAGAGATTACTGACAGGGGAAAGTTTGTTCGAATCTGTGTAGAAATTGATTTAAACAAGAGTTTACTATCCAAATTCAGGATAGGCCAGAGACAGCTTTACATCGGCTACGAAGGTCTCCACCTAATTTGCTTCCTATGTGGTCAATATGGACACAGGAAGGATCAGTGCTCCATGAATCCGGTTAATGGGAAAAAAGCTGAGGAGAATCCTGAAGAGGTAACTCAGGGTAACCATTCGGCTCATGTTCACAATGAGGCTATGCCCACGGCTGGAATTGAGAAGAGTCAAGAGGTGGATGGGTTTGGAAGCTGGATGACGGTTCAGAGAAGAAATTTTAAAAGGCCATCTCTGAACCTGAAACCCAAGGAAGTTCCAGTAAGCAAGGATAAGCTAGTTGTTGCGGGTTCTGATGTGCAGTCCAAGGGGTGTGCCACTGGGTCCAGGTTTGGCCCATTAGAGGGTGAGACTGAACAGGAAACAACACCAGTAGCATCCAATCAAGTGGCTGGAGCTAATTTCACTAAGCCTGCTGGAGGTTCTAACCAACACAGCAAAGTTCAGGGGGGGAAAAGAAGAAGAATAGTTTAGTAAGTAACTTAGTTAAGCAACTGCAAGGTTCTGAAGCTATGGGAAGTAAAGCACCTGGTGCAGCTCCAGTTTTGCAACCGGGTAGGGCAGCAATCCTGGTGGAAAGGGGGAAGCTCAAGGGAAATGTACAGGAGGAGGATTCCAATAGAGCTAAAGCATCCTGTAGCGAAGGGGCTGTTTGTCCTAGCAGAATGATTTCTGGCTCTGTTAATTCGATCTCTCCTAGGGTCAAAGAACATCCTCCTGATAGCAGGGGTGCTTTAAAGGGTACAGGACAAGATGGGAGGGCAGACATGGCCTGGGATGATATCACAAATGCCATGGGCATCAATTGACTAACCTTGCTTGGTTACGGTTAGTTCTGTCACTTTATTCTACTTTTGTCTTGATGATAGTGTGCACTTGGAATTGTAGAGGAGCGGGGAAAAGGGATTTTTCCTCTCTCGTGAAGGATTTAGTTTTCCAGAATAATATCCATGTTCTTGTTTTATTGGAAACTCGAATTAGTGGAAAGAAGGCTGAGAGGGTTTGCAAGGGTTTGGGCTTTGATAGCTACTTTATAAGAGATGCAGTGGGGTTCTCGGGTGGCATTTGGGTGTTATGGAATAAAAATAGAACTTGTGTTACGATTCTAGATGAAGACCACCAATTTGTACATACCAATCTTAGGTGGTTGGATTCGGGTGAAGAGGAATTTTTTACTTTTGTTTATGCTAGTCCTAGGAGGTCTGAGAGATTTACTCTATGGGATGGAATCACTAAACTAGCTGCTGATATGGCTGGAAAATGGGCTGTGATGGGTGACTTTAATGCCTATTTGGAAGAAGGAGATAAGCTTGGGGGCTCTGGCTTGAATTGGGGAAGTATGCAGGACTTTGGGAATTGCCTCAGTGCTTGTGGGTTGTCTGATGCTAGTTTTTCTGGTCCTAAATACACTTGGAGAAGAGGGAATTTACAGGAGCGCATAGACAGGATGGTAGTCAATGAGGAATGGTTTCTGGGTTGCCCAAACAGATCCATATTTCATCTTCACTATCATGGTTCGGATCACAGGCCGATTATTGTTAAAAATGAGCACACGGATGAGAGTGTTAGGGGATCTAAACCATTCAGGTTTCTAGCTGCGTGGTTAACAAATGAAAGCTTCAATGGAGTGGTTGATAAATGTTGGGGTAACAATGCTAACTGGAGTGCTGCAAAGGATGTCTTTCAAAAAGAAGCTTCTGAGTGGCACAAACTGAAATTTAAAGAGGATCAGAAGAGGAAGTTTAAGCTACAAAGAAGACTTCAAGGGGTGGATGTTATTTTGTCTAGAGGTTCAGATGAATCCCTTGAGAGGCTCCATAGAGCTCTTTGGCAGGAGCTTAATGAGATTTATGTACAGGAGGAAATTACATGGTTTCAAAGATCTAGAAGAAATTGGCTGGCTCTTGGGGATAGGAACTCAAAATTCTTCCATTCAGCAACAGTTGCTCGAAACAGAAGAAACAAGGTGTTGTCTCTTAAGAATGATGAGGGAGAGTGGGTCCAGGAGCCTGAGGAACTTAAGGCTTTGGCTACGGGTTTTTTTAGGAGACTGTATGAGGAGGTTAGCCTTTGCACCCAAAAGCTGTGCATTGGGAACTTGTTCCCAAAAATCAACAACCAGAGATGGAAAGACATTGGCAGGGCTCCTGGTAGGGAGGAAATTAGAAGAGTCATCTTCAAAATGCAGCCATTCAAGGCACCAGGTGCTGATGGCCTTCATGCTGTCTTTTTCCATACCCAATGGGTGAAAGTGGGGGATTCAGTAATTCGATTGATCAAGGATATATTTGAGAATCCGAGATTGGTAGCTGAAATTAACCAAACTTTGATTTGCTTAATCCCAAAAGTGGACAGACCTGAGATGATCCACCAATTCAGACCAATCAGCCTTTGCAATGTCAGTTACAAGATCATTACAAAGGTCATTGCTGAGAGGTTAAAGTTTCACATGAGTACATTGATTATGCCAAATCAATGTAGCTTTGTCAAAGGGAGACATGCTTCTGATAACATCATTATTAGCCAGGAAATATTTCATTCCATGAGATCTAAGAAAGGGAAGAAAGGATGGATGGCTATAAAGGTGGATTTGGAAAAAGCATATGATAGGTTAAGTTGACAGTTCCTGGAAGAAACCTTAAGGGATACAGGGATTCCTAACAATCTGGTGGACCTTATAATGGAGTGTGTGACTTCTCCTTCCATGAATATTTTGTGGAATGGAGTTCAAACTGAAGAATTTAAGCCATCAAGAGGGATCAGGCAAGGTGACCCCTTATCCCCATACTTGTTTGTGTTATGCATTGAGAAATTGGGACATCTTATCAATTCTGCTGTGGAGAGTAAAAACTGGTTGCGTGTGAGGTTGGGGAAAACTGGGCCTCCAATCTCTCACCTCTTTTTTGCTGATGACCTGCTATTGTTCTCAGAAGCCAATGGTGTTCAAGCTAAACTGGTGGTGGATATCCTGGAGCACTTCTGCAGTGCATCTGGTCAGAAGTTTAGTTCGGATAAAACAAGATGCTTCTTCTCCAATAATGTCAACCACATCAGACGTAGTGACCTAAGTCTTGCTTTGGGTTTCTCTATCACGGCTGACCTGGGTAAGTACCTTGGAATCCCAATCTTGCACAAAAGGGTGAACAAGGCCACATTTAGGCACATCTTAGACAATACAAACAGAAAGCTTAATGCCTGGAAGGAAAGCTCGTTGTCTATGGCAGGGAGATTGGTTCTCACTAGCTCTGTGTTGGCTGCACTCCCAACTTACTCTATGCAAACCTCTTTGATCCCTGTAAGCACATGTGAGGCTGTGGAGCAGAAAATGAGGGGCTTTGTTTGGGGATCCAATCGGGAAAAAAGAAGAATCCATGCCACCCCCTGGAGTATGGTTTGTAGAGCAAAAAAAGATGGTGGCCTGGGTATAAAGAACCTGAGAATGACAAACAGTGCTAGTCTGATGAAGGTTGGGCATAGACTTCTCACTCACAAGAATGATCTGTGGGCCCAGGTTCTGAAAAACAAATATAAAGTAGGAGATGGGCTAATTTCTAGCATTCCCAAAAAGATTGGATGCTCTAATCTCTGGTTGGGGCTATCTAAGGTTTGGGAGAAAGTCTATGAGGGTTCAAGGTTGATGGTGGGGAATGGATTTGGCACATTATTCTGGAAGGACAAATGGTTATCAATTGGCCCTCTAGAATCTCATACCACTCAGGTTATTCCTCCTGATATCCTCGAGGTGAGATTAGCTGATATGGTGGAGGCTAATGGTGATTGGAGATGGCAACTATTTGAAAATCTATTGTCCCAGGAAGCATTGAATGTCATTGCTGGCTTTTGCCCCCCTAATCCGAATGGTGATGAAGATAGAGTTATATGGGATTTGTCCCAAGACGGCAATTTCTCAACAAGATCAGCCTTTAACATGCTGTATAATACTGCTGAGGAGGGTAGCCAGGTGCATTGGAATACTGTTTGGGAGTGGGAGGGTCCTCCTAGAGTTAAAACGTTCCTCTGGATGCTTTATGGGGATAACATTCTAACAAACATGAGGAGGGTGCAACGACATATGGCAACCTCCAATGTGTGTCCTAGATGTTTGGATGCTCCTGAAAGCTGTCTCCATCTGTTGAGGGAATGTAGCTGGTCGAGGAAGGTTTGGGAGTCATTTATAGACCCTGCCAGCTGGTCTGATTTCCTTAGGTTTCCCTTGCATACTTGGCTTCATAATAACCTGTCACCTGCTCTCTGCCTGCTGAAGGGGCCGAATGGTTGTATTTTATTTGGCTTAGTCTGTTGGTTCATATGGAAAGAGAGGAACAAGCTGGTCTTTGAAGGAGAAACTCCTAGCGAAGGTGCTACTGCCAGGTTAGCCTATTCTTATTTGGCTAACTATTTGGAAGCTAGAACCATGTATAGCAAGGCTGGACTTCCAAGTAATATGAAAAAGGAGATGCTGATACAGTGGTTTCCTCCACCAATGGGCTGGCTGAAAGTTAATTCTGACGGGTCAGTAAAGGGAGAAGGTATGCAGTGTGGTTGTGGGGGAGTTCTTCGCGATGATTCTGGCCACTGGATTAGGGGCTTTGCCAGAAATCTTGGAATATGCAGTTCTGTTCAAGCCGAACTTTGGGGTCTTTTGTTGGGGCTTCAAATAGCTTGGGATCTTGGGCACAGGAGAGTGATATTGGAAGGAGACTCGAGGATAGCTACTGAAATGGTCAAGGAGGGAGTCACAAGTCATCATCCTTTAGCTGGACTCGTGAATAAGATTAACCAGCTTAGGAATTTATGCTGGCAGGTAGAGGTTGTGCATATATACAGAGAAGGTAATAGAACAGCCGATTGGCTTGCTAACTTTGCTACTTCTGTGGGTTGGGAGACTGTTATGTTTGATCATCCTCCCGAGGGATGTGCAGAAGTTTTTGAGAGCGACTTTAGAGGAGTAGCCTGGCCTAGAATGGTCAGAGACACATAGTTTGTTTGTTTTCAATTCCTTTTGTATTCAAAAAAAAAAATTATAATACCCGAAACAAATTAATTATAACATAAGAAATTGTTATTCCATCCGCAACTGTCAGGTTGACTTAGGTTATAAACCATATTATTAGGAGAGTTTTTTTCTGTGCATTAGATATACTGACATCCCTCTCAAAAAAGAAAAAAAAAAAGTGAGGACTGAAAAAGAAATAGAAAAAAAATATTTGAATTGAAATAGGATAAAAAAAATTTATATAAAAAAAAATGCACCGAGTTGGATGCTACGGCCTACGGGAGTAAAATAAATAAATAAATCAATCCTATTATTAGAAGATGCACAGCCAATTTATAATATTTGTTTTTTTTGCAAAATTTATAATATTTGTTATGTACAAATGTACAATAAGTACTGAAGCTTCTGTTGCACCGTCCCAAAGAAAAAGGGGCCAGGAAAACAATTTGTGACTATTATCAAGTCTATACCATACCAC